AGAAGAGTGATTAAAGGAGGTTGGGGAACAGCGAATGATCCCAGGAGAATGTGGGGTGTGACACGGAACTGAAAATTAGCTAAGGGTATGACTTTTCATGAAGCCAAAACAATTATATTTTACTCTTGAAGTAGGGATAAAGCTGGCCTGATTAGAAGATGTTTATTAGGTGGTATTAATGAAAATAAGGTTTCAAAGATAGGATGAAACCAAATTATAGTAACCAAAATAGCAGAAATAAAGCAAAATCAGTGGAGAAGATCCTTCAGAATATACTATCAATGGCAGAAAACAAAAAGCAAAAAAAGTATAGATATCACCACTTGAAAATCTGACAATTCCTTGAATATAGAAAAGATGCTATAAATAAAATCGAAATGACAGAAAATCAAATGATAAACTGGGAAATAATATTTGCATTGTACCAGAAAGACCAAAGGTTAATGTAATGTAAAGTGATGTTAGAAATCATTAAAAAAACGTTAAATATTCTAATTATAGAAATGATTTATAAATACGCACATAAATGGCTAATTGATTTGTAGAAATAAGGTTGAATCTCAACCATAATAATAAAAATGCAATGCTGCATAATTGCATGCCTGTATAATAGAAGTTACCTGACAGTTATTTCAATATTTTATTGCACTTTCCTCACTATCTTATAAATATTAAAAACTAAAATGTAGATGCTAAAGATAAACATAGATATCATAAACTGCATATCATTGGGGAAAATACACAAATTTATTAGGCAGACTGAAGCCAGTGTTGAGCTTCTTTGGATTATCTTAGATATTCATTGGATTTAATTTAGTTAACAGTATATCCAACTGTGAAACAAAGAAGAAAGTTAGAGAACACAGGTAAAATGCCAGAACCAAATTACCCAAACTGTGTTTATTTTGTTTTTTATTGAAACATAGTTGATTATACTTGTCTGTGGGGTACAGAGTTGAATATCAATACCTGTTTGCAGTATGTAATGCTCAAATCAGGATAATTAGGATATCCAACATTACGCAGTATAATCATTTTTTGTGGCCCTTTACCAATTTCTCCTCAAAACTGTGTTTAAAAAGCAAGGTATACTAGGAGATTTTGTAATATATTTTAGGTCTCTGGGGGGCAGAACTCCTTATAACTAGTCAGTCTATTTTAAAACTTTCCCACATTTGGCTTGGGTTCATATTTTCCAGAACATATTATCTATAAATGTAACTTACTTTTTAAATTTTTTTTT